CATGATACCAAAGGTAACTTAACCCCCCCCACACACACTTACCCCAATACTTTCCTGTTTCGGCCTTGAGCTTGGTTTAAGGTTTACAAGTCTTGCCAATTCTGAAGATAAACCTTCAAACACACCTTTCACCCATCAATAGTTGAACAATGAACATTAAACACCCTGTGACACAACAACAATCCTACAAAGCACACATCTTTAAAGGGAGTTTAAGTGTAATTTCAAGTGAGCCTCCATGCTCAGATGGAAATTTTCGATTTGAACGGTCTCCTTGAAACCTTAAAATGTAGAAGAAAAAGTGTTTATTTATGATAATTTCTTCGTTGTTTCTTATAAGTGAAAATTCGCAAATACATTTGCAGAGAAACCAAAAATTAAAATAAACAGTTTAAACAAATACAAAAACATGAGGTTCTAATTCGTTCAAAGTTTTTAAGGGTTCCGAATTGTAAATCGGGCATGGTCATCTTTACATAGATTTACGATATTTCAAACTATGAATTCTGTGAGATCGAAAAATCTAAATTTGCAGTTTCAAAGGTTTACGTAATCAGGTTGCAGAGGTATTGGAATTAGAAATTTGTGGGAAAAAAAAACTCAATTCCTTTGAATCAATGTACATGCATCCCCGATGAACATGTACTTCGATTTCTTGTAAAGCGCAGCAGATGTTTACCAATACAAAGCTAACTTCTTTGATACAAAAAGAAGTCCTAAGAAAGTTTTAAATTTAAAATTACGTGCAGGTTTCTTTGAGCTTATTTAGATTAGTTAAAGACTATGATAATTTTGGGCATCCAATCATTTCAAATTTCAAATATCCAGACATTCTCTTCTGTATAGCATCTTTGGTCAGTATACAGCAGATTACTGCAGAACGCACCGAAAACTTTGTTGAGGGTGGGTGGTATAATGGTTTCTCTAACTGATGACGATCAGGGGCCTGTAAAAGGTCAGATGCGTAAAGCACGCATCAGTAAAACGCATCCATGCTGTCAAATTTACGCAATAATTTGATTATTTAAAATGTAAAATTTCATACTCTTTTTACTCTGAAGCAGTAAATTACTTCATTTTAAAATTTTTTAAGAATATTCATGAAAATGTGGTTTAAAATGAGAAAAAAATACATTAGAAACCCTACTTATGAGTATGACTAATACATAATCTATTTGATTATCGAAGCAACAAACTCATTCTATAAAAGTAAGAAACCATCTTTATTTTAAAAAAGCAACTGCAACCGAAATTCGGTTGCAAAAATATAAGGTTTAAAAAATTAGAGTATGAGAAGAGTAATCAGACCTTTTACTAAGAGAATGTATTTAGCTTTTTTATTGATAAACGTAAATATGGAATGTCTGTTTAAGGCTGAATCATGTTACCAGCTGTTTAAAATGGATTGTTGGCATTGAAAATTTTCCTCTTGTCATCTTTATCATCTTAAAGTTCATGGTCATCCGCTTATTTTCTCACCTATTGATATTTTTATAAGTTAGTCAAGACTAGAGCATCAACAGGGTACATTGAATTCAAATATTTTTACACCTTAACAATTATATTCTTGTGAAAAACATAATAAAAAGCGAAAAGTAATTGAACTACAAAGAATAGGTGGAACCACTTCTTCATACCGGTGCAATTTTCAGAAAAACTGATTAAACTTTTCTATGTATACTACTTTTATAAATATTCGTTATAATCGGTCATTGAATTAAGATTTCCATTAGCAATGAGTGTGCAGTATAACGTACAGCACAAAACTTGACCAGTAGCTGGCTAACTTATCTGTACAAATTCAAAGTTTATCTTTTTGCATGTCACAACAAAACATTGCATGATTTTCCAGTGTCTCTCATGTTATGCATATCAGAGCAATAATACCAATTTTTCGTATCCTGAAATTAAATGAAAAGTTTGTGCGCATGGAACCTTTACCCCTAGGATTTAAGATTTTTTCTAAAATAAATATTAAAAAACAAAAATTATATTTAGCAATATTCTGTATTTGGAATATTTTCAGATATATAACTAAAATATGGATCAGTTTGCTGAGCTAACTAACACTATCTTTGATGCCGGTATGGTGGGCAAGGAGGTAAATAACTACAATATGGATCAGTTTGCTGAGCTAACTAACACTATCTTTGATGCCGGTATGGTGGGCAAGGAGGTAAATAACTCAAATAATGATTTGGGAAATTTAGTTTTTAAAAGTCAGCAAAAAATACTTTTTGATTAGGCAAGACATCTGTTTTTTGTTGTTGCCTGTTTTAGATTTATTCTTTGCTACAAACTCATCTCTTTTTATTTGCAACCCATTATCGTAGGAACCTTAGATGTTTCTAAATTTGAATTCAATCCAAGTTTTAAATATAAAAAGTGTATACCATATATTTTTTGAAAATAAAAAAATTCAGTTTGTGGCAAAAGCTCAAATCCTTTCAAAACAAAATATAAAAACGTTGTGTTTTTGAAAATAGTAAATAGAGGAAGAAAACAACTTTGTAAATGTTTCTAAAACTCATTCTTTAGGAGATGATGAGCCCTTCTACAATGTTCCTCAGCCTGATGGTAGCCATGATACCAAAGGTAACTTAAAGATATCTTCAATGTTTATTCATTTGTTCCTAGCTCCATTTATAGAGCGACATGTCCGATTTACAACGGAACTCAATTAAGGACAATTTAAAAAAACCTTTTTAGGGGCGAAAACTTGATTATTTTCATTTATAACTTCTCTAAAAAGTGTTTATCCTGCAGAAACGAGAGAGGAACTAACCAGAATTCAATATGTTTTTCCTAATGTTTTGATGTTTGCATGTGATTTGAACATACCATTATATATATGAAAAACATTTGAAATTAGGTTATAAGATGCAATAAAGTGCAAGCTACAGCCTAAAGGATTACTGTATAACAATTTCAGTCTAGATTTCTATTTCAGAATTGTTCTTATTTTTTAAAAATCAGACTTTTACCACATTTCCATTGTTTACTTCATCATTTGTGCGCTGGTTATATTTCTACTAATTAGAAATATCATTAAGTTTTGCTACCTTTGTTATTATCATTATTATTAAAGTATCATTATTTTTTATGATCTTAATTTTTTACTAATATTGTTTTAGCATTACTAATGTAATTATCATTATCAATATTAGTGATTTTCTTATTATTATACATTTTTATCTTGGTATTGTATTCAGCTTGTTCCACGTATTATGCCTTCCCTTATATCTCGTATGAACCCAGAAGCTGGATTAAGGTTGGTCAAATTTATTGTTCAAGAATTAATTTGCAATCAACATTTTTGCATACTTGTCTATCAAAACTTTTTAAAGTTCATATAAACAATTTAGATTTTTTTATTTTTGTTGTTTTAATCTTTGGAAATGATTAAGTTATAGTCATTTATTATTCCTCTCTGCAAAATATACGAATTTTCATTTATTTTTTGATTTTACATTTCTTATAAACTTTGTTTTAGTCGGTTTAATGATCCCACCTACTTATTGGAATTAGAGAACTCTTTCAGGGATAAATTTGCTGAGAATCTGAGGGTAAGAAAACTTAAATATTTTTGGTTTCCAATTTGATAATTGTAACAACCAAACTTATCAGAGCCGCTGGGAACCCTTGTGTTGGATACTGTTTATCCTTTATTTTGGTTTTTCCTCCTTTGTTCAAAGCTCCCTTCGACCCCTGACTGCAAAAGATCAAAATCAAGAATTGATCTTGATATCCACAGTACAAAAGTTCCCAGATCTGTTAATAAATGCGCATAAACTGACTTAACCCCTTTTTTATACTTTTCTACCCTACATCTAAAATTGTAATTTTAGAACTTAAAAAGATAATATTGAAAAAAGAATGCCCAAAAGGATGACCATATTTGATGATTCAAATTTTACTTTTTCACTTTTTTCTTGAGTTTCGAAGTTCTCCGCGAGCACCTTCTAATTCTAGGTTTTTTTTTGATAATTTTTGTTATGGTTTATCATTAATGCACACTCATGGTCTCATTAAAAACTTAAGCAAAACCTAATACACAAATTTGTTAAAGCTATCTTCGTCCTATTTTAAATATAGTAATAGTGATTTAAAGGGAGTGACCGGCAATGTATATTAGTTTAACTGAGAATGTAGTATTGCAATTGTAGAGAATTTTTTTAAGATTCATTAGAGACATATAACACGTTTTAATTATGAATAATTACTGAGTTAGAGCGCAAAGTCAACGTTCAAAATTATTTTGAGAATTTTTTTCAAAATTATTAAATAACGACAACAAAAAATTTGTCAAAAATTCGACAGTAAACTAATAAGATGGTTATAAAGATAATTCTTAATAGAAATTTGTCAATAAATCAATGTTATAATAAATCATTTCATTTTCATCATTAAATTAAATTTCTTATTCTTTACGAATTTGTTCGCAGATTTCTACGAATTCTTCAAATGTTGTCTTCAATTCAAAATATCAATAAATTCCAAGAGATCTTCAGGAAATGTTTGTGAACAATGCGAGATTGCAGAAACTAATTACTGAATAATATTACTTATTTTCGATGATAAGAGTTAATTTTATTTTTCAACCTGTTCCAAAACAACTAATTAGTACACTATAGAATTTTTGTTACATTTTTGTCGTCGTTATTGAATGATTTAAAAAAATCAATTCTCAAAACGTAACCACCAAAATGAATGATTTTGAAAGCCGACTTGGCGCTCAAACTCCGTAATTATACAGCATTAAAACTTTTTACATGCATGACTGAAGTAAAACCTAAAAAAATCTCTACAATACTACATTGCAGGTCACTCACTTTAAGAAGTATACACAAATATATTAAAATAAAACAAAGTCTAATTTGTAAAATTAGAAAAAAAACGTGAAAAATTCTTGCATCTGTAGAATCCTTATTTCTTGGAGTTGTCTAACACTGAGCATTTGAAAAAATAAAACAATAAACCTAAATATTAACTTTGAACAAGAAAATGCATGAATATTGTTTAAGACATCGAGAACTCTCTCAACTTTAGTAATTAAACATCAATACATCTAAACTTTGGTAATATATAAAGTCAGTCCCAATAAGCATGAGAGTTCGCAACCATAAAAAAAAACAACTTTAAAGGAAGTGTTAGCATAATTTCAGCTAACCCTCCATGCAAAGATGGCAATGACTTTCACATTTTAATGTAAGTTAACTTTTATTTATTAAAGTGTTATTCATGATTTTTTACTTATTCTGAGAAAAAGAAAAAATCCAAGATAGTAACAGTAACACCAAACGAAAATTTTACTTTAATGGAATTTTTTAGATGTATGTTACACAATCATATATTTAGAATATACTTGTATATGTATTTGAATCCAGCATTAATGATTTTTTACAGACTTTAGAATTAATGTATACAGCAGAAACAAATATTTGATATAGACAGAATTCAGCACTTATCTTATAGAAAAAAGATAAAATAGAATAACGGCGATGTCTTCCTAATTGTTGTCACGTCCAACTAAAGTAAACTTTACGTAATTAAGATTCCAATTCTTTATGTTGTTAACCATGAATCCTCTTGTGAGCTATTAAAAAGCATTAATATCTTTTAAATATTCAATATGTAATATTTAACCAAATAAATTTTCTTTTCTCATACTTGGGCGTAAAATCAAAACTATGGGAGCTACCAGGTCGCATACATTTCGTCTTCTCCTCCTGGTTAGTTTGCTGTCATATTGTTTTTTATTTTAGATGGTTGTGGATATACTAGAAGAGGAGCAGAATGGAGGTATAGAGAAGAAAGAAAGATCTGGAGAAGAGGGTAGACTTGCCACGCTTATCACATCAACTCTTGACACAATAAATGTCGATATTTCAGATTTCGATGGTAATTTTTATATTTTCCGGCTAGGTCGTACAAATTTAATAGAAGAGTGGCTTAACTAATTGTATTACTTATGAAGGACACTTCTTTATAGAAATATAGAAATACTTGAAATATCTGTATCTAGTTAAACCTATTCTCATTACAAATCAAATCTTCTGAAATTTAAAAATGTTCACAATTGTGAACAAATATTCTAAACATTACTAGTAGTTCAAGAACATGCATCTGAAAAAAAATCCAAAAAAAATAAATATTAAATTGATAAGGAATTGAGTTTTTGCCACAAACTCTAATCTTGAATTTTCTAATCCCTGTATCTTTACAACCACATGTCGTAGACCGTACATATTTCAAACCATGAATTCTGTTAATTTAAATGATCTAAGTTGGAAATATCGAAGGTTTTCACCATCAGCTGATATTAAAGAATTATGAAATTTGAATTTTTGGCAAAGACTTAATTCCTTTGTATATATAAATAAAACCTATAAAGAGCTAATCGGGTTTGCTTTGATCTTGCAGTATTTAAAAAAAAAAAAAAAAAATTCTCTGCACTTTCTGTTTTGTTCATCTAGATTTTATTTATGTAATTCTAGGAAGTAAAATGATTGATCTAGCTGATCTGGTTAGTGGGCAGGGACCGAGGTAATTGTTTTCTGAATATTGCTATACATTGTATTTTGTACTGCTGGGTTTCGCAAAAAAAAAAGCTAATTAATGGATTTTAGCATATTTGCACAGACCAGTTAAAATTATGAGCTGTCCAAACATATTAAACAAATGTCATAGTATCAAAAATCAAATAGAGTAAATTTCGTGGTCTGTGTGTGGGGGGGGGGGGTATTGTTGACTCTGGTGAGACCAGTAAGATCGAATAAAAAATAATCTGTTATAAAATTTAAATTTCTTGAAGTTGAAATTATTCCCGCATTTGCTTGGCTTCCATCACGTCAGCTGTGAGAGGGTGGGGAAATGTAATGGACGAGAAAATGTTTTTCCTTTTTTTGCAAAACCAAAACTTGTTTTTTTTTGGAAGAGTTATTTACCCCGATATTTTTCCTGCGTAGTGTTGGAATATGATAAGGATTTAGGCATTGAAAGGTTTCAAAACATGCTAATATGTACATATATTCTCTCTTTATCTCTTTCTATTGACAAAAAAATATTAAAAACTAAAAAAGAATTAATATTTCAGAGCTGCAGTTTACAACGTGATGGCTGAAGCTTTGATCGGAGTTTTTTCAACTATTTCTTCATTCTTCTTTTATTGATCGACTGAATTGTTATTTATTTATTTTTATAATTAAAACTGCTCATATCAAAGAGAAATCCTGTGTAACAAGGGTCAAATATTTAGTCTTAGTTTTAAACTTGTTATTTTTCCACCAGTTATTTTGTACAGTATAGGTATAATATACTGTACGTAAAAATTTATTATCAGACATGTTTTTTTTTTGTTAAGTTTCTTCAATGTTAGTTTTGTTTTCTTATCGTTGTATTTTGTTACATTATACACAGACACATTTACAGTTATAAATAATAAATTATGCTCTAAATTACTTTCTTTTAAAAAAACAGACTTCAGTCATAAAACAATTCAACTGAAATTCGGCTTCCAGGCTTGAAGCTTATTAGACAAAGCAAAAAAAAACAATATGGCCGTTAACAAATATATTTGAACGCTCCATCGTAACGTTAACACTATAGGTCCGGGGGATAGGGCTCGTGCACATTTTACTATTACGTATTTTGATTGGTCTGGAACTGTTTAATGTAAACAACCAAAAATTAGTAAACAGCTTCGTCTAAAAAAAGTTCCAGGCTTTGTTAATAATTTGTGTTAATGTTTTGAAAAATAGTTACAGCTTCTCTTTGTTTGCTTATACACTTTTAATTCGAAAACGGCGTGTTATAACAATCAGATCTTGAAAAAAAATGCGTCACATTTCCTGACTAGAATATGCAATAGTTGTAAAAATCCACTATTGCTTCTTTTTTTCTCTATTTACTTTTTGTCTAATATGTTATTAAGTATATTGGGACTGACGATAATCCTGAATTGCAGTTTAAGAATATGCTATAAACAGTTATGTCGTCATTTGTGGGGTGGAGGCAAAATAACGGGTGTTGGGTTATACAGGGTGTCCCACGAAACATGATTTGAAAGTTGTTTTTTATCTTAGAATTTATTTGGGACATTTATTCGTCAACCTCCTTTCACATGCATGACTCTTAAAATAATAACTACAAATTTCATCTAGTCCTGGGATTTTCAAACGTGGACTGCCTTTTTTTGTGCTGTTAATATCACAAGAGAAATATTAAAAATTTTATTCCGATTTCAATTTTATTTAAATAAACCAAAATTGTCGAAATCTGAATAATTCCGAAAATATTTAAAGCATAAAAAGGCAGACCACAATTTGAATTACCTTGAAATAAACACTAAGAATGACTTGACAATATAAGTTAGATAAGATTGTTTTTGTTTACGAGAATATAGGATACGCACACATTGAAGATAAAATATTGTCAATAGATATGTTTGACGGGTCAATGGAAGAATTTTAAAAATTAATCCAGACAGTCATACCTAATCTTTGTGGAAAAACATCAACGGATAAGAAACTTTACGACAATATTTTTAAATGGCGACTTTTTAAACAGTCTTTAATCAAATAACAGTAGTATGATACATACAGGGTGTGGCAATAAACATGGGAATTTAGAGACGGCTCGAAAATCGTCTTCGATTTCCGATGGTTGTTAAATTACATGAATTATATCAATTAAAAACTGTGTGTCTGTAAAGCTTTTCAACAAAATTTGGTCCGCTTTTTTTGTACATTTAAAATTAACGAAGATATGAACATTTGAACGATTTTGGTGTTATTTAATAAATAGGAATCCGGACAAATTTTTTTACATCTCCGTCAATTTTAAAGGTACAATAATGGTTAAACATATTTTAGAATTCCCACGACTATAAGTGTTAATTATTAACTGTTTTAACTAGAACACTACTAAAACTGTGTACCAGTAATAAGACCACAAGGAATAAAGACGATATAGAAGTCGTCACTTAATTCCCATGTTTATTGGGACACCCTGAAGGAATCTGCTATCTGCTGGATTATTGTTACGCTGACAGAGAAGCATAAACAAAAACAATTTCTAATGCATACCTTACGTAAGTAAAAACCAAGTGCTTGAAAATTTAAGACGACATTTCTGAACAGTTATCTCTGTTGTGTACATTTTATACAAAAACAAAAACAAAAACAGAGAGATAAACGTACTAGGATTAAAAACATGACTAAAATGTATAATAATTTCCCTGCACCAGACTATATGAAACAGCTTGCCACAATTATTAGCATGGATTAAAATCATGTACATTTGTAAAATAAAAATTAGTCCTAATAAATAAGAATCATTATTTTTTGACTTAAAAAAAAAAAAAAAATTTGGAGAATTCTACCTTTTGAACGTTCTACCTTTTGTTTGTTCTACCTTTTGATCGTTCTACCTTTTGTCGTTCTACCTTATGATCGTTCTACCTTTTGTAATTCTACCTTTTGTAATTCTACCTTTTGTACTGGAGCCAATTTTTGTATTAACCCAGTCTGGTTTTTAGACATCGTTAGATTTTGGGAAAAACGCCGAAATTTGACCGACACCCAATCCTGTTCTCAAGTTTACCGACACCCAATCCTGTTCTCGAGTTTACCGACACCCAATCCTGTTCTCGAGTTTACCGACACCCAATCCTGTTCTCGAGTTTACCGACACCCAATCCTGTTCTCGAGTTCCATCGTTTCAAACTATTCTATTTTGCACTACACTATAAAATTCAGAAGCAAAATATTTTAATCCAGTTGAGTTAAAAATCTAATCTTTTTAACATTTCCCCCCACATTTTAAGTAGCTTTTTTATAAAACAACTAGCTGAAGTGCCCGTTTTTGCCCGTGCAAAAAAAAAATTCGACATTTAAAAAAAATTTTGATTTTTGAAAAAAACTTGTTTAAAAAAATTGATCTAAAAAAATCGATTTTTGAAAAAAAAAGTTCTAATTTTTTAAAATTAGGTTTAACCATGGGACCCTTAAAAAAATGAAGATTGTATATCTGGAACAAAACTTAGCTGCTATGTCACAAAATATTGAAAGATGTTTTTTTGCTGTAAATTTATAATCATTATTCTATTTTCTATTTACTGTATTGTTTGCAGACTGCTAAATAAACAAGCGTCTATAAATAGTTGCCCCACAGTTATGAATATTCAGTACCACAAAATGTTTGGATCTCGACATATGCATTATTCTTTTTGGCTTTCTCTGTTAAGCTTAGCCTCGCTGGTTCAGAGGTATTTCAACATTAAAAAAAAAGGATTTTTATTCTCATTATGAAATGTGTGTACATTGTACAGGGCTGGGATATAAGAAATGTGTAACTGATTTAGTAATGCCTAATTCAAACTAGTTCAACTAATTCTCGCTATTCATTAAATCTGACCTCAGCTATACAAACACTATTCTTACAGTTTTTACTTTTTTTGCTTGTTTTCAATGACGAACCTTTGGTTTTTTTAAAAATATGGAAACAAACTTCTTATTACAGTTCTAAATGTGTAATAATTAATAAAAAATAATTAATGCAATTTAAATAAAAATTGTATTTTATTTGGGTAAACCATATCACGGACAGCCGTGGTACATTTGAATTTCCTAGACGGATCAACCTTTCCTGTCCCAGTTTGTACTGTATCGCCCGGACATTGGGTAAATAAAAACACTCTATAGGACTAGCCGGTGCAACAAGGTTAACGCGGTCAGATTTTAGGTTAAAATTACTTTTACAGAAGGGTCAGAGGTGCATGATATAAAATGTCAATATATTTCTGAAAAAGAATTGAAAAGGAATTGAGTTTTTGTCACAAATTCCAATTTTATAGTACCAAAATCTCAACAACCAAATGATACATACCTTTCATATTTCAAATTTACATTGTTTGATCCACCAGAATTCTTAGTTTGAAATATCTACGGTCTCCGATATTTGGTTTTAAAGCAATTGGGATTTAAAAATCCGACTTTGTGGCAAAGACTCAATTTCTTTACGCTTTATTCATTGATTAAATTTATTCAAATAATGATAATAGTAAATTGATCTGAACTACAAAAAAATTATCTTTTTTAAAGTGGAGTATCTCCAGGGTGCGGTAAACCTCTGGACCATGGAGTACATCCTGGTCACTCTACTGATATATACATACAGGTTGGTTTAAGGATTTAACTATCAATATTATGCTTCCTTCTCTTTTCTAGAAAAAAAATTAGCTGTTAACCGTTGCTCTTCCAAGTTGGAGCTGCCATTTTCTTTGTAAATTTTAAAACTAATAACTTCACTGATTTTTCTGTTTAAGGTGCAGCGCATTTTTGAAAACAATATATTTCGGCATTTTTGGGGGGAAAATTGACGTTCTATCACCCTTCCTTTGGGGTCAAATCATGTCAGAATTGTCGTATAATCTTTTGGCCCGATTGGTTTAGTCGTACATTCTTGGTCGTAGGGACGTTTATTGGATACAAACACACAGACTGTATAGAAGTGTATAGATGTCATGTAGAGTAGGGCCCAATCGATTGAGAAGTTTTAACCCTGTTTAAAAAGCAAAAAACAACAAAAAAGGAAAAATTTATAATGGTTAACTAATCAAAGTTTAGGTGAATGATCCTGGACTTGGAGAAGTAACAAGATATTTTCGTTTTCATGTTCCTAAATCTTATGATATAAATACTCCTCTGGGTCTTGTTGTTGATTACCATGGATGGACAGGAGATGCACATTCACAGGAGAAGGATTCATACTTTACAGGTTAGGTTAGAAAATATGAACAATGTTGCATCATTAAAGCTGAGATTGGGAACTTTTATTTGGATTGAGGTCAAAACTGTTCATCTGGCGGTTTAACCCTATTCCTGCTGGGGGGGGGGGGGGTCAATTTGCCCCCCCCCTGTAGTTTTTTTTAACATAACTCAAAAAGTATTGGTCTGAGGCTGTTGAAATTTTCTGACTTTTCCTACATACCCAAAGCCCTCCCTTTAGGCCTAAAACCGGGCTTTAATACTAACTGCCTGAGTCCTCAGGCACAATGCCTGAATGACTGTTTTTTCCTGTAATAAAGTAAATCTTTGTTTTGACCCACTTCCACTTGTCAGATTTTGATAAAATTTAGCTTTTTGGAAAGCCTTTGACATAAAGAAACGAATTGCACAAGTTTTGCGAAAAAAATTGAAATTTTTTTGCATATTTGAAATGGCATGGTCAAGGACTTTTCAAAAATGTATAATTTTTCATTTTTGGACAAGTTTTTTTTGCGAACATTTTTACTAAATAACTGGATTTTGCGATAAAAAAATCAATTTTTGCAAATTTGCAAAAATGTTTGCAGATTCTAAAAGTAGAGCACAAGAGCTTTCCAATGATGTATCATTTGTCATATTTGGACATCAAACATGGGATTTAGAGGGGGGGGAAATTCCCCCCCCAGCATATCCTGGTTTTCAAGTACCCCAGCAGAGATAAGGTTAAATCTGTTCATCTGGCGGTTTACTTTATTTCGTCAAACACAGTCACTCATTTCTTGAAATCATATCTTAATTTTCTTCGGGATAATTTCCTGTATATCTTCATATAATGAAACTAAATCTTAATTAATTACGTGACATATGTGCTTTGCCGGTTAAACGTTTTAACCTTGGAAAGTATTTAAAAGAAATATGGTAAATTCAGAAACCTTTTTTATACTCTCTTTAATGTAATTATAGTTTTTAGAGGGGAATACCCAAATTGCAACAGTAACCATTAAACCTTTGATCATGATCATCGAGATAAAAAGGATAGGTCCATCTTCAGTTAAAGGTTAAAAGTCTAATGTTGTGAATCGCACACGCCAATTACGCATACAGTCCCTTTAATGCTTTTAGCTGTAGCGGATATGGATCCTGTTGGTTTCTTTGTTGCTACCCCCAATGGTATGGCAGATAACAAGGGTGGAATGGGAAGCTTTAATTGCTCAAAAACTAATGGACCCCTTGGACCACCTTGTGACACAGACAGAGCAAAGTAAGAAAATATTGATATTGAAACTGGAGCGTATGTAGGGAGGGGGTGATGGGGTAAAAGTGGCGACCACACTAGAAATTTAGAATGGGGTTAAGTCCTCCTAGGCAAAGTCCTGTTTTAGCCCAAAATCGTAGATTTCATAAGAGAGATTTCTAATTCATTTTAGTCTTGGAACAATGTCTAAATATACCATTGATAGATATGGAGAAATTGAGTGTTATGATTCCTGTCCTCATTGTGATTCTTCAAACTCCTGTGATTGGACAACATGCTTTGATGATGTAGCATTCACAAGGTAAATATCTATCTTTCTTTTATCTTTGACTATTTGCAATTTGCATATATAAAATTGAAACATCTATTATCTTCCGATTAAGGTACACGCTATGATAAGTTTATTGTAAACTGCAATAAAGAATAAGCTGTTGATTCTCTGAATACGTATTATATATTGAGAAGAGAAAAACTGAAACACAGTATATGACAAAATAATTTGAATAACCAGACACTGTTTTATTTTAAACAAACAAATGTCCGTAAACAGTAAAAGTAAATTATAAAACTAGGTTTGCTCTTCCAAGAAAACTCGAATCTTGTTTACAGTCTTCGTATTGATTTGATAAAACTAGTTCTTATCAGCTCTGAGCTGAAAACTTTTGAATGGAATATCCTTAATCCTGATCGGATAATTAATCTGGAGATTAAAAATGAGAGGAGAACAAGCAATATTTAATCTCGAGATTAAGAAAAAGAGTGGATTAAGCATTAATCCCAATATCCACCATTCTAAAGTTTTCAGCTCTGTTGCGTTACAGTAAAATGTGAATAAACACCCTTTCCCACTCCCCTTAGTTTCAAATCTTCTTGATGTAACTAATAGATGCAAACTAAAGATAAATTTAATTTGAATCTTCTATCTTTCTAGTGTTTTTATATTTGTAATGATTGCTTTAGAGCCATGATTGACTTTGTGGCTGACAGCTTCTGTATTGAGATGAATTCTGTTCATCAAAGTGGAATATCTAATGGAGGCATGTTTTCATACTTCATTGCTTCTCAAATGAGGTATATTTAGAATAATTTAAATTAATTATCGAATCATTTGAATTTTTGGTTACCAATTACGTAAAAGTTTAAGAAGAATCTTTTATCTTAGATATAACAATCATAAAGGAAATGAGTCTTTGCCACAAACTCGGATTTTTAAATCTCAATTTCTATAAAACCAAATGTCGTAGACCGTAGATATTTCAAACTATGAATTCGGGTGGATCAAACAATGTAAGTTTGAAATATGAAAGCTATACATCAACTGGTTATTGAGATATAGGTAATATAAATTTGGGATTTGTGGCAAAAACTTAATTCCTTTCTAACTTTGTCAAATCTAAAAACCTTTAAACAATTATTCTTTAAAACATATAAATATAATATTATGTAATGTAGATTTTTTTCCATATTTAAAAAATTGAACTTATCGGAAATGGACTTAATGAAGATTGATAAATTGTATCTTGATTCAATTTTGATATTTTATGAATGTTTTGAATTTTAGATTAGGAATCCGGAATAAAAAAAAATAAAAATATTATAGTAAAAATGTTCTTAGGTCTAGAATCAATTAAATTTTAAATTTAAAAATTGAAGAATCTTTAATTTCTGAAATCTTCAGTGTAAGATTTTTAATTTGAATCCTATATATAAATGTTTACTCCCAGTGACGTGTTTGCCTCTTTGGCCCCTGTAGCGGGAGCTCCTCTGATTGGGTTTGGTGATGTTCCCAGCACTCCGGTCAGTCTCATTGATATCCATGGTATCAATGATGACACTATTCCTTATGATTTAGCCCATGCTGAAGGTAAAAATAGGATTCAGGTTTTTATATGAAGAAACAACAAGAATACATTTAAAGTACAAACATGGCTGATCCAATTGATTGTAACTTGTTCTAAAATGTACAGTAAATACCAGAAAACTCTAAAAAATGAAGACGATTTATAGAATCAAGCAAGTTATAGCTATTAAAAGTCCAAAAAGCATAAAACATAACAATTGTGGAGTGTAAACACACCCATTTCACCAAATTAGTGCTTTATTTAATACTAGCCTTATAAGCCGCTTCGCGCTCATCTTCTAAATTAATTGTGAACATGTTCTCTTTGTGTACATCGTAAAACAAAACTAAAATAATTTGCGGATTTTCACAAAAAATTTCGTGGATTTTCAAAATTTTCAAAAATTTAATGAAGATCGAATTTTGATGAAGACAAATATTTGAAATTTTGATCATTCATAAACCTTCCCTGTGGCCACGTGATGTCCCACCAAAAAAATTTGGCCCGATCGGTTCAGCCGTTTTGATACAAACAAACAAACAAACAAACAGACAGACAAGCCAAATTTATATATAGAAGTGCAAAACCGATAGTCCCACATTGGATATAGAGAACAAACGTTCAAGATTACAAAAAGAGTTCCAACCTTTAACTCCTTTTCAAATTCTTTAATTGAGGAATAAAGCATTGATCCTTAAAGGAATTGAGTCTTTGTCACAAACTCTGATTTTCCAATTCCTATATCTTTTAGTCCAATGTTGTAGACATTTGACATTTTAAACTATGACTTCTGTTAGATCAAATAATATAAGTTTGAAATATCAAAGGTTTTCGACATTGGGTTCAAAAGATATACACAAAAGTTTCAATCTCTGATAAATCTTTAGAAAAATTAGATATACAGTGAAACCCTTAATAACGAATACTTCGAAAGAATTCATCAAATGTCGTATTCTTCACTTTCTGATAATGGAATGTTGCAGATATTTAGTTTTTTAATTAAATGATTATATGGAACTCTTTAAAACTGTTCCCGCATATTCATGGCTATTTATTTATTTTAGCAAATACTGAAATTTACGTAATATAGTATAAAACTCATTGAAAATTGTCAAGACAACATTTGATAAATTCTTCCGATGTATTCGTTATTAAGGGCTTGACTGTATATAAACAGGTGAGGGACCGTATGAATCTGTGATATCCTGGGATGGTTACTATTATGAACAAAAAACAAAAGTTATTACGTGAGTAAACATTTCACAATGAACTTTAAAAATGGAATCATAATTAACAAATATTGTTTCAGTAAATGGAGAGAAGGATTAAACTGCAGCCCTGAACCAGCCAATTATGCCACGCCTATGGATGGTGTGAGTGGGTGGGAGTGTAGTGTGTGGTCAGGGTGCGAGGGTGGGGTTGAGGTAGTACACTGTACTGCAGATCATTATCATGATTATCCATTCGGAGCAGAGAACCAGTATATTGAAGGAACTAAGATTATGTGGCATTTCATGAATACTCATCAGAAAATGTAAACTTTTTTATTAAATAAATAGTTTTAGGTTTAAATTAAATAAACATTCGTAACCATGGATTAACAAATGTCATGTCTTCATTAAACATGTATTGTAAAAGTTTGAAATGTAAGTAGTTTTTGTGACACTCTGTAGATAAGAATCAAAATGCATGCATGGGTTAGTATTGCACAAATTCCTATATAACCACTTCCAGTCTCCAGTCTCCATTTTTCCTCTTCTCCCCCCCCCCCTCTTTTAAACTTATAGACATATTACTTTAACACCCCTTTAAAAAATAAAATGAAATATTTGCCATAAAGATATCAGAACGCAATATATACGCAGTGGTTAATTTTTCCATTGTTTGTCTATTTGTTTTCCATGACGATAGGTAGTAAAGGAAAGCTAAATAAATTGAGCCTCAATAAGCCTTTCATTTAAACCCAGTTAGCTTGAACACCTTGTACATTTCATATACATACAGTTAGATTATACCTTGTACATTTCATATATATACAGTTAGATTGAACACCTTGTACATTTCATATATATACAGTTAGATTATACACCTTGTACATTTCATATATATACTGTTAGATTGAACACCTTGTACATTTTATATATATACAGTTAGATTGAACACCTTGTACATTTCATATATATACAGTTAGGTTATACAGCTTGAACCTTTCATATATATACTGTTAGATTATACACCTTGACATTTTAAATATATACAGTTAATTTATACACCTTGAACCTTTCATATATATATACAGTTAGATTATACACCTTGAACCTTTCATATATATATACAGTTAGATTATGCACCTTGAACCTTTCATATATATACAGTTAGATTATACACTTTTAACCTTTCATATATATACAGTTAGATTATACAACTTGTACATTTCATATATATACAGTTAGATTATACACCTTGAACCTTTCATATATATATACAGTTAGTATGAACACCTTGTACATTTCATATATATATAGTTAGTTTATACACCTTGTACATTTCATATATATACAGTTAGATTATACACCTTGTACATTTCATATATATACAGTTAGATTATACAGCTTGAACCTTTCATATATATACAGTTAGATTATACACCTTGTACATTTCATATATATACAGTTAGTTTATACACCTTGTACATTTCATATATACAGTTAATTTATACACCTTTTACATTTCATATATATACAGTTAGATTATACACCTTGAACCTTTCATATATATATATATATACAGTTAGATTGAACACCTTGTACATTTCATATATATACAGTTAGATTATACACCTTGAACCTTTCATATATATATACAGTTAGATTGTACACCTTGAACCATTCATATACATACAGTTAAATTGAACATCTTGTACATTTCATATATATACAGTAAGATTGTACACCTTGAACCTTTTATATATATACAGTTAGATTATACACCTTGAACCTTTAATATATATATACAGTTAGATTATACACCTTGTACATTTCATATATATATACAGTTAGTTTATACACCTTGAACCTTTCATATATATACAGTTAGATTATACACCTTGTACATTTCATATATATACAGTTAGATTATACACCTTGAACCTTTAATATATATACAGTTAGATTATACACCTTGTACATTTCATATATATACAGTTAGTTTATACACCTTGAACCTTTCATATAAATACAGTTAGATTGTACACCTTGTACCTTGCAAAAATGTATAACCAAGGTTGAACACATCATTACTTTTACCATTCACACATGAATTGTAGTAAAGACGCTTTGCATTTTACTATAGAGTGGGTCCTTTTATAAAATGAGTATCTTAAATGGCATAAACATTACTCAATGACTCATATTTTACTATAGAGTGGGTCCTTTTATAAAATGAGTATCTTAAATGGCATAAACATTACTCAATGACTCTTATTTTACTTTTTAAAAACAATCCGGAAATACTATGATCGAAAAAATCAAGCTACATGTGTTCTCTATGTAAATCAACTTATTTATTTACTATACATAAATCAGATCAAGTGACAAACGTAAAAACTTTTTATTATTTACAAAGGCTGTGACTATAAATTGAAACTGAATACATCTATTAACTTGTACAATATTTTATTATTGATGTCAACTTTCTAATTGTAAGAAAAAGCCAAGATCTTGTCATTATTAAGAGAAAACTATCAAAGAACCCCTATTTGTTCACAGACAGAGTTGGATGGCACTTTATTTCACACTTGGCAAGCCTTTGTAGATTTATGTGAGATAGATTTGCAAGTGGCAACATAAACCACTGGGGACTAATTGGTCTCAAGTTAGAACTAGGGATCTCCATCTCATGCAGATACTTAATTTAATTCTTCTCATGGTGGCGCTTACATTGGATATTGAGATCAAGTGTTTAAGATTAACGATACTCCAAGCAAACGTCAGAGGCCGAGTTTAAAGAATCGTGTGCTGGATCAAATCTCGAAACACTGATTAAAATTTCCAGCTGAACCAACCTTAAATTCGGCCTCTGCTATATTTTAAAATGAAATACTGTCAAAACCATGAAGTACAATACTTTTTTACTTACATTGTTCCTCTGTTATATATTCCCCGTAGCTGTTTGCCACAAATATTTTTTGTCTTTAACTTTTCCAGTTTTCTTAACTGTATATAAACACGAAACCCCCGGGAATACAGTATTCGAGTTTATTGACTCCGAAACCCTAGATAATGGGTGTAAAAAGTAAATAACCTGGTCATACAGGGTGTCCAACGAAACATGCCAGTTGGTGAATAGTTTAAAATGTCTTCTTCCATTATTTTTAAAGTTGTTTGATACCAAAGATGATGAGAAGGAATACTAAATGGCAGTAATATTATAGTAAAATTGATTTCAAACAAATATATATTTGAGTAAAAGATTTGTGTATCGAAATATACAGCAAAAGGTCTTAAATAACTAATACAGTATCATGTAAGAAGACATTATAAACTATTCACAAACTGCCATGTTTTGTGGGAAACCCTGTAGTTTAGTATCCATGTACATCTATAAGTTTGGAATATTTGGCGTCTTCTTCTGTATTGTAATTTTACATATATAACAACGACATGTTATATTAAATGAAAGAATACGATAATAATTCCACAGCTTCCTGGTTACCAATTTGATTCAAATCACAAAATACAGTAGTCGGCGATTATATCAATACAGAGACAACTTATTTAGTTAAGTTTTGATTGTTAACAAGCTTTCTTCGAATAAAAAGTAACTTCTCGTTGTTTCCATGTTTATGTGTATCCAGGTTTTTTAAAAGCTTGGTATAAATCAAAATTGAAATCGAAAGTCGTCTTTTATTTAATAGATAAATGCGACGACGACTGTATACTATCTACATAACTGAATCTAAACTTCTGTTATTCTTTTATTCTATTTTCAGAATTTCAACATGGCGTCCATGCACATGTTTATACTGTTTGGTTTGGTTTGGTTAAGTGTTGAGCAGGAAACTTGTCCTCCACATGTTGGTCAGTTTGTAACACTAAACAATAGACCATATCAAAAGGAACCAATAGTTGTTAAAGTGAAGAAGAAAAAAGGTAACCTCCCCCCCCCCTTCCCTAACCCCATAACCCCCCAACCCCCCCAAAAAAAACAAGAGAAAAAATGAATGGATGCCGAAAACTATATCACATTTTATTCTGAAATTAATGGGCACAGTTTAGAATCTTTTCTCTTGAATGTAAATTTTTCCTGCAATGGCCTAGACTTTTGTAAAAAGTTCAAGTATTTTTTAGAAAAATTTTAATTAAACTCTAAATATGAAAAGTCAATTATGTAACGAGTTATAGTAAATATTTTTCAATTGATAATAATCGTTAAACACATTTCTGACATAGGAGAGACAGTTGGTCGATTACGAGTGGAAGACAATGCGTATTATGGATCCCCAAAATGTTCAAGTTAGTAACAAAAATTTTTAATTAGTGCAGTAAATGGAAAAATTTAAACATTTTTTTGTTTAGTACTGGAAGATGTGAAAACAAATTTATATAGTAACTTTAGGTACGGCTTTAACTAAATTTCAAAAGAAAAATCTGATTAAAAATTCTTGAATTTTAACTTATTTTGAATTCTATTTATTTGACAGAGTAAGAGAAGAGTATGATGCTCAAACATTTAAACGTGGAAAGGACTGCGTGATTTATCTCAGCCAAGATAAATTCATTGAAAACGAGGTATAATCAATAAGTTTATAAATATAAATATTGGAATTTAAAGGGACTCTAAGTTTAATTTTAAATGAACCCTTAGAACATGGGGGTGTTCGTCGAGTATACAGAGATATGTGTGTTTAAACCTATCAAAATCCCCTTGTATTCAGCTGCAAATTCAAGTGTGCGCTGTGTTGAGTTACATAAAATTACGATTACAGCCCCTTTCAATCATGTAAAACAAAAATGTAAAATTTGAAGAAAAATTAATGGAGAATTTTTATTTATGTCTTAATAAATTTTTATTTTTGCAAGCACACTTTGTTGCACCACATTTTGTTTCCGCAACAACTTTTGAATCCTTGAGTTTAAATTTGTTCTTTTTGCGCGGCATTCCTCGCAAATTCTGGTACGCCTGCAAATACGCAACTACCACGAGATGATTTGCACGCAATTTTTTATGTGTAATATTGGAAATATATATAATAATTTAGGTTGATATGACTATTCTACTTATTGCTGATGTTAGGTAAGTACTGGGAGTTAAACTACAAAACATATAATGCAACTTTCATATTGTCAACATTTAGTTTAAATTTTTTTTTTTTAGGCCTGGCTTGCCCGACGAATGCCAAGTAATAGTCTCTGCACGAGCAAGTTTTACTGTGCAATTCTGTGCAAATGGTGAATTTAACAAAGCATTAAAAAAATAGTCAAATTTTAATATATCAGTGTAACACGTTGAACAATGCCCACATATATGACAACACTAATATCCATAAAAAAACTGTGACGAAGGTCAAATTTATGTGACTTTACTGGTACGACTCTGTGACCTCGTAGTTTCTCTAGTTTTTATTTTATTTTATCACTAGTATGAGTAAAAGCAAACTTATCCGATTAAATATTTGAAATTCAAACATTTTTGTTTTCCTCGATAGCTCTTCAATAAAAGTAGTTAAGATTGAAAACTTGTGAACAGACAAAGAAGTTTTAACTGGACAATTTTTTAATGAGACCTATATGATTTTAAAAAACATTGAAAGTTAGCTTTATGTAAAATGGTTTATCTTTTGTAAAACAAACATGTTTATTTTGTTGAGTTTGTTTTGAGTCATCTTAATCATTTCAGATGATTGGAGTTGTTATGAGAAAGCTTCATCTGCTGACATCGAAGGAGTCCTTGATGACGATAGGATACAGTTTAGTGAAGATAGACAGATAGAAACCAAGGTTCTAGCTCCTAGTGGAGGAGTTGTTGAAAAGGGTTCTAACTCTACACAATTAGCGGGGATATCACTCAGGTTGGAAAAAAACGTCTGATCTAAATGTGCTAGTTTGATATATTTTTTTATTTTTTTACATTTACAATATGTTTTTGCAAAGACAGAAAAAATAATAATTCCCTTTAAATTCCTCATTACACTTATTATTCACTTAGTATATGGTATATTCTTCTTATAGTAGAAGTAGTACCAGCACTACTCAGCAAGTGATCTATATTCTTCTTTTAGTAGTAGTAGTACCAGCACTACTCAGCAAGTGATCTATATTCTTCTTTTAGTAGTAGTAGTAGTACCAGCACTACTCAGCAAGTGATCTATATTCTTCTTGGAATACTTGGAATCCTTCTCCTTATTGTCCTCTGCTGTTTGTGTGCTCGGTGTATTCAGTAAGTTTATCCAAAGGAACAAAACACTTTTCTCCAACTATAATCCCTTTATCTTCGCAACATTTTGTAATTCAAATTTGTACTTTTAGATCTAGCAGAATTTATTATTTGACATATCATAATTCTGCGAAACTAGGTTGCAAAAATATAAAGGTTATAAAGTAAAAGAAATATGTGAAGAAAAGGAATTTGAGTTTATTTCAAATTTATTTTGAAAATCTTTAATTTCTACTATTTCATTAAATAACTTTTTTTTCATAAATAATCTACTTTTTTAAAAAAAGGTCTCACATATCAAGTGAGAATATTGCTTTTAACTTTACTTTTGACCACTAGTTTTCCCATTGCTAGTTTTTATAGTTTTCCTTTATATCATTGTTTTCCAAAATATTTAAACATGATGCATATACCTTAAAATAGGTGAATAAAATGGTACCCCTTCTTCCAATAAAAAGGAATTTGTTTAAAAAGGGTAAAGACAAAATTAAACCTATTAATGTGTAAAAACTGTATTCTATTTAGAAAAGGCAGTGAGGAAAAGAACGCCAGTATGCCCCCCTCGCCATCTCCTGCTGTAAAGCTAAGACAAGCAGTAAAGGAAGTAAGAATTTGGGATAATACTTTGTGTACCTTGTCTTTCATGGTCAGTTAATGGTATATTTCTTTATAGGATAAGATATAAGGATATTTCTGGAAAAAAATTAATGTTACGACAAACTTTTTACGGCGCATTTTTTGCAGTTTTTTAACCCTTCCCATTATCATGCAGCGTCAACTTTAAATAGTTTTGTACATTGTACATTTTAGATCTATAAAGCACTTTTTTGTAGCTTTAGTTTTTTTAGGCTATTGGCAATTTTTTTGAAGATTTTTGCGTGAGAGCTTTCGATCTTTTGAATCCCTTATCTGTAGACCTGACATATTTTTTGGGAGGTATAGCCTTCACATTGATCCAAATCATGATTTATAGGAAGAAGCGAGCAGAATAAGACGTCAAACAAAACATTCAAAACCAAGTCAACAACTACAAGGGTTTAATAACCAGGACAGACAAGAATACAAAGGATACAATAACCAGGATAGACAAGATTATCAAGGATACAATAACCAGGAGGGGCAAGAGTATCCAGGATACAATAACCAGGAGGGGCAAAAGTATCCAGGCTACAATAACCATAATAGACAAGAATATCAAGGATACTTAAATCAGGACGGCTATCAGGCAAGAAATTCAAAGATTTTCGGAGCATTTTTTTTTTTTCAATATGAAACTTCTTATTGCGTTTAAGGCTGAACCTTCCATAAAATATTGTTTTTAAATAAAACATTTCTATCATTTTCTTCATGTGCAGGATCAATTCGTTGTAATGCCTAAAAACCAGAGAGTATTCCGAGTAATCGACGAGGACGATTATACAATGCCAGGTTATGTGGTTAGTATATTTAAAACTATATTTACACTTACCTACTAAACAGAACTGAATGGATCAACTAGGGGTCAAAATGGAGTTAAATTCTGCAACAGTGTTCAATGTTAACTCCGACTTACAAACTGGGATTCCAAAAGTTTAGGTTTTCCCCCAATTTTTGCCCAGTTGGTTAGCGGCTGAGCGTACTTCAGAGTTATGACACAACTATTGCAGAGTTTAACTCCACCTTGCAACAATTTGATTTAAACTCCACTTCTGGATTGCAAAAGTAATCTATGCAGTCTTTATTTGTAGGGTCCCTTAATTATAAATTGTTCCGTTCCACAGTTAGAACAGGTTCTCACTCAATCCACTCAAAAAATCTGATTAGAATAAACAATATGTACCATTTAATTCATAATCAAGATTAATTCAACCAATTAAAGTTTTGCTTCATAAAACGTTCCTTATTGAGTATGATGTCAGAAACATTTGCTTGAACATTAAATTCTCTGAAATTCAAAAAAAAGAGTTACGGTTTTTGTGCAATTGCACATATCTTTAAAATGAACAATATTGCCTTCTACATAAAAATCTAAGGTACGCCAACAAACTATTAAGAGGGACAAATCACGAAAAGGATTTTTTCCAGAAATCTGAAAACAAAAACAAACAAAAGAATAAAATTGAATTTAACATTTTCTGAATTTAATTAAATTTCGATTAAAGTCATTTTTAATGAATCTAGTACTGCATGGTTCAGCACGCAATTGCAACAGAATTTTCAATTTAAAATAATCAAGAAGTCATATAGACATATGCAGTTATTCTTTTTATTTACATTAAAATCGATTAATCCTGGACAAGAGGCCAGAATTAATGAATAGCTATATAACTAGCTGAATTAGATAGTTGAATCGCTGTTTTAATTTCGATATTGATCTAACTAGAGGAGTTGTTAAACTATGCAAATCAGCTAAACTTTTTGCGTTTATTAAATCTGCAAACTAGGTAGAATATAGCAACATTAAACGTTCGACTTTGATTTTATAAAAAGCGAGATGTAGCTAAAGCAATTTTGTGGGAGATGGAATACTTCTCAACGAGTACACTCGGCTTGACTGAAAAGTAGTTGAACTGAGTAAAACAATGTAGAAACATTTATTTTCATTTTTATTTCTTCGAGTTGGATTTTAAATCAACCATATTGTTTAGAGTCGATCCCGCGGTGGTGAGGAGGGAGAAGGAGGAGGATATAGTTTGAATATACTCAACTTGGAAGGATTGGACTCGCTTGGATCTAGTTATAACAGGTATTGGGAGTAATCTCTTTATCCAAAGATAGATAGATTTGGGGGAGGAACTGACTTTTTGTCACAACTCAAATTTTGAAATCCCTAAATATTTGCAACCTGATGGTGCATATATTTATTATTTCAAACTTAGACTTTTTGATCTACCAGAAGTCGGGATCGAAAAATATAGGGATAACAAAATAAGAGTTTGTTGCAAAAACTCATTTTCTTTTTCGAACAATTTTCTGAGAATTAAGTTCTTATGAGATTCTGAGAAAATTCCTCGATCAGCGGTCGGAATTAAGAATGCCGTGGAGTAGTTTAGCTTAGACGAATAGTTAAACTACATCTCTTTAGCAGCCAAGCTAGCATTAGATAATTAGTACAACTAGTAATAACAAGCTGAACTACTTCTCTTTAGCAGCCAAGCTAGCATTAGATAATTAGTACAACTAGTAATAAAAAGCTGAACTTCTTGCATTTAAGCTCATCTCAGGTCAACAAAAAATACATTAATTATTATAATTTGTCACTACCTGTCTGCTTCTTTTTGTTTATAACGGTTTCAAGTACTTCAAATTAACCCGCAGTGCTCTAACCTACATAGAGGGTTCATAAAAAAACATTCATAAGGTAACCCCTGAGCAAAGAGAAGCTGTCCTCATGTACGTTTTTTTCTAAAATTTATTTGTGTATTCATAAAATAGTTATGAATTGGCCTTTTACTTTTATAATATATTTAACTTTTCTTACAAAATAAAAATAGAGTGAATTTAAAGTTTGCAAATACTTTGATTTTTACGCATGCTAAAATCTTCACTCTGAAGCAGATATGGTTCTTTACAATTAAGTTATTAAAACTAAGGCATTAGTCATGTTAATAATCGAGGTCATTCATAAACTTGAGGCTTTCTTTTTATTGAATTTTATTAAATATGCATACTTGGTTTGGTTGATTTGGTGGGTTTTCATTTATAATTCATAAAAGTAAAGGTTTTAAGAAAACAGGTGACAACATATGAAATCAAGCATTTTTATTTTTATGATGACATGGACTTAATTAATGAAATTTTTGCTGTAACTTGTGTATAGGGATGGATTGTTTTCACTTTTTTGAAAAAACGATCATATTTCGTAATAACGACGGTGAAAAAACGAAAAACGAAACAATGGTTTTAAAAAAACGATAGTTTTTGAAAAAGATAGTTTTTGAAAAACGGTCGTTTTTAATAATGAAAAAGTTAATCGCTTAATTAACGAAACTAGGTCGTTTTGAAATTTTTGACGATATTTAACGACGACCTTTTTTAAACCTCTTTTAAAGACAAAATACAATTTTTTGTCGGTAAAAAAACTAATCTTAACTAACCAATCTTTCGCTTTTAAAAGTCAAAACGAGTGGTTCATTTTTAATAACAATAGATTTTTTTAAAACGAAACTATCGTTTTAAGAAGAAATAGAAAAATAATTTTTACGATCGTTTTGGTTGACTAAATCTGATTAATTATAGTCGCTACAGCCGACATAGTTATGAGAAACAATGGAATAATGGAAATGGATTAAGTGACAGTGATAACAGCCACAGGTAATACTAAAAAATCGAAGAAACAGAAAAAAACGTTTTTTCAACCCCCCCCCCCTTAGGTCTAACCCCACCTTTCTATCAACTCATGAATAAATTCTTAAGTAAATCAATAAACTCTGAAATTCCAAAATCCATAATATTAGCGTTTCAGTCAGGATATTTTATGACTGGTAATTTGGTGTTAATGTTTACACATGACAAATTGTAATTACAAAATGATAAAAGAAATCCGCAACTTTGGGACCATAAGCTTAAAACTAGAAAAAAATGATTATTTTGATGTGGAAATAACCGAAAATCTAAATCTCTTTTTATCAATTAAGCAAATATTTGAGCATTCGTTTTAAAGTAGAGATTACAATGTTTACATAACTTTCTTTTCATTTATTTACACAGCTGCTTGTAGGTTCTTCCTCTTTAAAACTGATTTTGATACGACAATGATCTTTTTTGATAAAGGTTCCATATATATTTCTATTTATAGAAGTTATCGCAGCTATAGATCAGATAGAAGTAATAATACAGCTACTAGTTACATTGAACAGGATGAATTAAAGGTAAAAAAATTATTTTATGACAAGACATCGTAGAATTGTTTTGATATTATCATACCTTATCTCTGAGTCATTCTGTCAGGTCTCTGTTCACATCTTCTTCACCTGAACTCCAAACCTGTACTTTATTTTGGCTAAAGAATAAGGGATATTTCTCCTCTACTAAAACCTGTACGGTCCTACCATGTACTCTAAAGGAGCTGTAATCCTGCTCCTTCCGGTCGACCAGCTGAGATAGTAGGTGGTCGACCTAGTTTACCTGCCAGCCCTGAAAACGGAAGCTTGGGTGGGTTGGTCAAACCTGCTGACCGGCTCTAAGCTGTATGCTGAGCAATAATCTCAACCCTGCTGACCAGCCTGTTGTTGCCAGCCGGTCCCCCTTGGGCCACTGTCCCAGGGCCGGTGAACCCTGTTCACCGGCCCTGGGTGAAGCTACCTGGAGGACCCATGCAAAGGGGAGGAGGGTGGGGGCTGAAAATGTCTGCCAAAGCCGATACTAGTGCTTTCTGATCCCCTAGCGGTTGGTTGAATTTGCAAGGCGCCAAATTCAAATATCTCAGAGATAAAGTTAATAATATCAATTCTCTAAAACTAATTCAAGAGAAAAAAGACAAGGAATTGAGTTATTGCTGCGCCTCAAACTATAATTTTCGAATCTTTGCAGTCTGATGGTGAAAACCTTTGATATTCCAAACTGAGATTAATCGATTTAACAGAATAATCATAGCTTGAAAAGTCGACATTGGGTTGGAAAAATATAAGGATTAGAAAACCCGAGTTTGTGGCTTGTTTCTTTAAGCGTGATTTGGTCTTTCCTTTACTTACATACAAAATGGTTATTTCGCGCACATTCATCTAGTAACAACTTGAGTTGTTAAATGTTGTTTTTAAGTTGTTTTTTTTTTGTAAAAAGTTTTGAAGTTTGCTGGATACCAACAACCATACAAGCAATATATAAATATTTTGAAGATGAATGATAAATGTTTTTTTTTTACCTTGTTTCACGTTTTATCTTCATTAAAGATAGCATTGTGATGATGATGATACTACAGTCTCCAGGCTGTAGGATTCCTTTCCTAAAGCAAATTTGAAAAAAACACAAACTTTATTTTACAGTTTTCTCTATTTTAGAATGCCCGAATGATGCGTGGTGTACAAACAGATGCTGTTCTAGACTCTAAAAATATCCAGGTACACAGTAATCAAGGGCGTATACAGGGAGGGGGGGCAAGGGGGACAGTGCCCCCTAGACCTGTAAAGGGGGGCGTAGAACTCCCCCGTAGAACCCAGAGCTTTCACACTTTTCAAATCTTAAACTCAAGAGTGAAGAACGTGAAAAAATTAGTTTGCTGTTCATTCAATTTGCACTAAGAAGATTGTATACGTGGACCAGAGCCACAATGACAGAAGTCCGAATGAAAAATCTATTTAGAATGCACATTCATCCTAATCGGATGGGCGCTATCAAAGGATAGCGAAGTAAAACAATTATTTTTAACTGCCAAGCCACGAAGGGTAGTAAAAGACCATTTTTTCTTTTTTAAAATTTGGATTTAATTTACTTTATTCTTTGCATAACCGTTTTGTTATCTATATTTTTATTGCAAACTAACTGAAGTGCCAGGCGTTACCCGTGGAATTTTAAAAATCCGATTAAAACAAAAAACTTATAATTTATTTAGCTTACATCATTCCCAATGGTATTTATAAGTTTCCTCACTACAATTCAGCCCATTTGATTTAGCCGTTTGGCCAGCCATAGCAAACAAATTAATGAACGCAGAGATTTCTTATAGAGATTACAATCGTACTCCTACTTTTTTTCAAAACAGAAACTTTTACAAGTCATAATCACGCACCTCTGACCCTTTAGTAAATGTAAATTCAACCTAAAGTCTAACCGCGTCAACCTTTTTGCATCGGCTAGTCCTATTGAGTGTCTGCTTTATTTACCCAATGTCTGGGCGATTCAGTACAAACTGGGACCGGAAAGGTTGACCTGGCTCGGAAATTCAAATGTACTACGGCTGCACGTGTAATTGTTTTCCGGATCTTTGTCCTTTTTTTCATCTCATAGAATTTAAGTTTAAGATGAGTTTATTTTCAAAAATGTCTTTTACTATCTCTTGTTTAAATACTAATTATTACTAAAATAAGAGTATAATAAAATGTCGATTTTTAAGAAACATTGCTTTTTTCTGCTAGTTTTGTTTGAAGAAGAGATGTACTTGCAAGGTAATTGGACTGTATGTGTACCTTTAAAGTATCTTATACTTATGCCTGATATCCAAGAAGCCAAATGTATTGAATTTACAATTCAAATTTTGCCCCCTCCCCCTAGGAGCTTTCAGGGGGGGGAAAATTTCGCCACCCCTAGATTTATTTCTGTATACTCCCTTGAAAGTAATGCCAGTACAAATATTTATGTGCCATTATTAATTAAGTATTCAGTTAAAGACAAATACACTTCAACACTTTGATAAAAAGTGGAATTATGTTTGGCTCTGTTATTCTTCCCCTGCACCGGACTTAACGAGAAACACTCGCAAGCATACGATATATGCAACAGCGTCAAAGGAATAATTTTCAAACTCAGTTAATATTGAATCTTTCATTTGTGGTTTTAAGATTTTACGTCAGAGGGGATAGAACAGTCGCACTTTTACGATATCTATTTTAGATAAAAGTCGAAGGGGTAATATTGTAAATGCTTAATAAACTCTTTGTTTCAGACAGACTTGGACCGAACAGAAACCATTATCCCTGATCTCTACAGGATTAAAGAGGACCCAGAGCAGGAAAACCAGGACAGGGAGGTGTCAGCACAGGAATGAGATTTTTAAAATTTATTTTTCCTTCTTAAATTCTTAAGCAAAGTATAGGAGTTGGCCCGTTAATCGAATCTTTGCGTTTTTGTTAAATAGAGCCAGTTTAAAACTCATGAGTCATGATAAAAAAGATTTCTAGAAACTGAGATGGACACACTTGTATTGTGAATATCGAGATCAAGCATCCTTTTGTTAATCTGCAGATTAAGTTGACCTTTATTCAATCCGCATGGTAATCGTACAGTCAAGGATTGAAGGGAGCTTTGATCAAGGGGAATAACTTCTTTCGAGTTTTAGAATATATGAAAATGTATAGTTTTTTTATTGATCCTTAAAATTTAAAGCACCCAAAGTGAATATCAAGATTAAGCGTTCAGGATTAAAAGTATCAGACACAAAATTTTACAATTTCAAAATGTCATGTAAGGTTAATACTGAGATAACTGGAGGGTATGGAGATAGAGAAGAGAATAATGAATCTTTGAACCCAGAGGATCTGGAGCAATCTGTGATTATGGAGATGCAAGATGATAATGACAGGTATAAACTTTATATACATATAATAATAAATACTTATCAAAATTTATTTTCTTATCTTTACTGTTTTCCACGGAGTTTTTGCCACAAATCCAAATTTTCTAATCCATATATCTTTGAAACCTGATGGTGAAAACTTGATATTTTAAACTTAGACTATTTTATCTAACATAATCAATAGTTAGAAATATCAACGTTTTACGCCATCAGGTTGTAAAGATATAGGGATTAAAAAATTTTAGTTTGTGGCAAAACTCTTTTCCTTTAAGCGAGAATTCATTGAATGCATCCTTTGTGACTGATTCTCTTGGTCTATCCTTTGAGTCTGAGAATAGTTGGGATATGATGGATCATGAACCAGGACCTGATATACCAGTTAAAGAAACTAAGGTATAACCTAATTATTTTTCAGTTGACCGCCATGTAGGATGACGAGCTCAAATCTATTTAATTGAATTTACTGCCGGCCGTTAGATATATTTGTTACATATTTAGAAACTGTATAGAAAGATTTAGAAATTCATTGATTTTTAGCTACATAGCTCACTTCTTCTAGTTATTCATTCACTCTGATAAAACACAAAATAAAATACATTTTAATTCGTTTTCCCGAGATATGAATATATCTTTAATGATTTTCAGGCGTCTTTGATGCGGAAAAGAAAGACGACAATGATGAACAAAGACAATGCTCATGTACACTGCCACTATCCAAAAAAACATTGATCAAAAACCAAATTATAATCTTTTGTAAAGATATAGTACTTTTGTCAACAAATATTGTTTTTATTTGCTGAATAAATTATGGTGCTCAAAAAGCATGTTTTATTTTTATTTTAATATTTATAAATTCGTAAATTGTTTTGAAAATAATTTTGTTTAAAATATTGATGTATTTGCACGCAATTCCGTAAGGTGGAAAATAATCTGGCTCTCAAAATAATCCCAAGCAAAGGAAGAAGATGGAAAACTCCTTTACTTTTAAGTAGATGTGTAGTTGTTAATCGTTTTTAAAAACAATCGAAAAAACGATAGTTTTTCGTTTCGTTTTTTTTTCTAAAAACGATCGTTATAAAAAATCATCGTTTTGGAAAACGTCTTTTTTAAAAAAAACTTTCGTTTTATTTTAAAAAAGATTGTTAAAAATTCGCTAATGAATCTTAGTTTTCGAAAATTTTCCGACCAACAAATGTATTTGCTCTTTAAAAGGGATCGATAAAGATCATTAACGAAGGATCTCGTTAACGGTCGTAAAAAAAGGGTCATCAATACGAAGAGTTGTTATCAAAAACAACCGTTTTTAAGCAACGAAAAACGAAAGTTTTTGTAAACGATTTTTTTTCAACGAAAAACTTCAAACAATTTTCATTCGTCCCAAACTGATAATCTTGATTTACTCACATCTTTGAATGTCGTCTTACACTTGATAATTCTTTTCAGTTAAAGAATAAAAGGACAGGATATAGGTGATCTGGTCTCAAATTATTTCCAAAACTGGTTAGTTTGTTGATAAAGTCCCAATTTTTATAAGGTTTTAATAAAAACGCCTCATGGGGCCGTGATAATTGGATTCCAAACGATTATTTTGTTATAACTTCAGTAGCTTTTTTGATCTAATAAACAATTCAAAGATTCGAAGGGAAATCTACACGTCGTCAACCAACCAATCACAGTAATCCAAAGGTTGCAAGCTCTCACGCAAAAATTGATGAGAATTTAGCCAATTACTCCTTAAATAAAAAAGCTTAATCTGCAGTGCTTTTTAGTTCTAAAATGTAAACATGTCTAGACCAAATACTTTGCTAATTAAAGATAGCGCATCAGTAAATCATACGCAAATTTAATTAATTTTGTGGGTGAGCCAACGATAGTAACAAATATCGTCATCTCTAATAATCCAGTACTTTTAACGCTGTTGACGTTTCATCTTTTGTAATGTCGTCTTTTGTAATGGATTTACGAGTTATTTAAAGCAAAACAAGAAAAACACTTTAGTTTTTCTTATCTTGAAAATTTTAATTTGACCATAAAAGTGACTTGAGGATTTTACGCAACAAAAACAATGAACATAATTTACAGAATTCATCACTTTTTCAGATGAAATAATGACGATATCTTCCTCATTGTTACCCAGACAAATGTTTAAATGGTACCGTTGTTGATAGGACCTTTAATGGGTTGGTAACTTGAAATTACATCTGTCAGTCCTTTGGAACATTTACTTTTGGTTTGAAGTATATTAAGTGCTTATAAGAAGAAAATCAATGCATCAAATCTTTTATGCAAGTAACCTTGTACTTTTTACAGTAATCAATTATCTGATTAATTTTGCATTCATGATTGAATTCTCTCTCTACCTGATTTAAATGAATTATTGAAAAATATAACGTCATAATATTCATGTAACAATGTAAAAGTTTTTACACACTCTGGGATACTTCAGCGTAAGGAATTCAGATGGTCCAATTAAAGAGCCTTCATCCAAATTTTTTTCTTTTTGGGTCTGCTGGTATGGTAAACGCAGACTCTCCTATTCTTGGTTGGCTTGCAGTTGGGTATCATACATGTTACTTTGCTTGGCAGTGGCACCGATGAACCTGAATTTATCAGAATTATTGATTGAATTTGTATATAAAAAAACTCCGGAATTTGAAGACGAAATTTAGACAATCTGCATGTTCACTGCTCAAGTGCGGCATTTTATGTTCTTTCAACTATTAATTCAAAAATTGAATCTAAAAGTCGTCTTTATATTCCCAAATTTTATTTTCACCAATGTATTTCTTTAATGGTGGAAGTTTTGGAACATAATCACCATAAATCAATTGAAGAGTAAGATTAATACATTAATTATATTATTTCTTTGCTAAGATCAAACAGAAGACGACATTTTCATAAAATTTATTTAAAGTTTATAATACTGGAAATTTCTGGTCCCCTCTCTTCTTCATCGTCTAAAATCCCATTCCACAGAGCCTCAGAAAAAATATTTGACAATGTTCACTACCAATTATTGGCTATTTTTGATACAAAAGAGATGCGTGACTTGATCACAAATTCAGCAATTCCGAGATTTATTTTTTATATTTCTGATGAAAAAATGATACTTTAAACTATGAATTTGGTTAGATCTAATAGTCTAAGTTTGAAATATCAAAGTTTTACATGGTACACCAGTAGATTGCAAAGATATAGGGATTAGAAAATTTTAATTTGTGATAAGGACTCACTTCCTTTTAAAAGCAAAGGTAAAATGGGTTGGTTTTATTTATGTATATAGTTACAGTTCTGGTATAACTACTACACCTACAGGTTAAGTTTATTCATCATAAATATAAAAGTTAACCCAAAGAATAAATCTAATCCTTTAGCGGGTTAGTATTTAAAATAATAGTATTTAAAACATGTTGCTTTAATATGGATTTTGAAGGAAATCCTCCAAAACTTTTGATAGGGGCCTTGAAAGGACATGTATATTGTATCGGGGGACCATTCTAGGTTCGGGGGGGGGGAGACTGGAGATGCCAGCCCCACTCTCAAGTACACCCCTGCAGCTTTCTGCATTAATTCTATATTACGACTAAATCTTTCTGTTACTTCGAAGGATGTAAACATTTTACAGATAGTATACGAATAAACAATTAATTTTCTTTGGGCTAATTAATAAAAATTGATAACAAACTGAAAAAAATTGGCTTAAAATAAAACCGACCGTTACGTTACTTAAAAAAATAAGAACATATTTTTGGTTCTGTGGATAATTTTATTCAATTGGAGACCGGGTCTGAACCCTTCCTCCCTCCTTCATCACTTTATAGAGAATAGATAATTAAACTCAGGTTGCCAAATTGGTTTATTCATTAGGTAAGATAGATAGATAAAGTATTTTATAGTTAGTTAGTTTGTTAGTTAGTTGGTTGGTTAGATAGTTAGGAAGTTTGTTAGTTAGTTAGGATGTTTGTTATTTAGCTAGTGAGTTAGTTTGTTAGTTGGTTGGTTAGATAGTTATTTGTAAGTTTCTTAGTTAGTTAGTGAGTTATTTAGTTAGTTAGTTTTTTAATTGGACAGGCAGATGACCTAGCGCTTATATTGTTAAATGATGTGCTTGATTTGTATAATAGATGTGCCTGATTTTTCTGATATTTTTTACTTGTTTTTTGTTACTTTGTCTATTTGTTTTAGTGTCATTTCACATCGGCAAAGTAGATCGTAAATTCGGAAGAAAGTATACTTACTGTTCAATATATTAAAGTAAACTTCAAGTCTTTGTTTAAGTTTTAAAACTTTAAAATTCTTATACAAATTTTAATTCGCAATAACTTTTCTGTAAACTGCAGTACGTATCCGTAAACTTTTGGAGCTTCACAGTTAAAAAATATTTCGAATGAAATTTATTAAAATTTGGAAAGAAAATGGAATTTATATGTAAAGAAAACATTGTATCTATCTATACATTATTTTTTTTAATCCAATAAAGGCAGATGGTCTAAATTTGTAACCGGTTAAAGTAATAGTAGTGAGATACAATTACCCCAAAAAGACCGTGCTAGGGAGGTTTACAAAAATGGCAAAAAAGACCGTAACATATTTTTTTTTTTAATTTGATTTTGAAAATTTATAACAAGCGGTAATGTGAGACATGTTTTCATATACAATTTTCAAAAATTAAAATTTTCGATCTGTAGTTCTAATAACAAAAAAAAAAAAAAATACAATCCGGCCTTTTGACCGTCTTAAAGGCTTAAATAGATTGTTTTTAAAAAAGTACCAAGAAAACAAAACACGTGTCTTTATGATTTTTTCGCCAGCTTCTACTAAAGAATATAAAACAATCTTTTTCTAACTAATGCACCCAGTAGGCTCCTCCAGAGTCCAGGTTTACAATGGTTCATCAGACCTTAAGAATCTAATAAAGTTTTCTTATTCATTTAGTTCATACAATCCATAAATCTTCAACCGGTCCTTATTAACATATTTCATTAATTATAATAGTTTCTCACATTGTTCTAACTGAAAGGATATCATTTTTTTGGTGTACTGTTTTACCGTCTATAGTCTTTATCTAAACTGTACAATGTATACTTACTTTAGCTGTCTAAAAGTCCGCCTGGGTTTATTATAGTTTTAAGTAATAACCACGATAACCAATAATAGAGACCTTTTTATTTAAAAATGCCATGAAGAATCTGATGTAAACGGAAAAATATATAATTTTTTAGGATTTAAAATGAAGAATATAATTTTCTCTATAATTAAATCAAATTGTTTTTAAACTTAAGCTTTTAAGTAAGCGAAAATTGTTAATGGAGTAAAAATGTTGCATTCGTAAATTATAATCATTAAAATTACCAAAAATGCCGGCATGAAAAGAAAACAGAATATTTTTCATTTATACTTCATAATAAATGATATTTGTTTCATATTAAGAATGTAGAGAATATTAAATCTTTGTGCTTTTAACAATATTTTTATTAAAGGTAAAGAAACATGTTAGATAATATTTAATATGTTGTTTTAATGTTTACAGACCCCAACGTATAATTGAAAAATGTTGAAAGGAAAATTTAACTTTGTCTACAAGTTAAAGCAAATATTTTAACGAACTGTTAAGCTTATTAGTTAAATATGTGTGAAATTCTTCCCCTAAGAATGTATTATGTAAATAGCATACACAAGAAACAAAACAGAGTCCAGGAATACTGGTCACTACAGTACATAAATTCAATAAATAATCATTCCTTTAACAGAAATATAAAACAATATGGTGTGTATAGAGTATAGAGAAGGCAGTATGTTTTACAAAGAAACAGCTGTGGGACCCACGTACAGTAGAAATAAAAGTTGTTGGACCGATCATAAACATAGTGTCTAGGTGTGTTATGACTCATGGCTGGACAGGAGTTAAAAATATAATTCCACTAAAATTTCTAAATTTTTTAAATCACCAATTAATGCAAAGGAATTGAGTCTTTGGAACAAAATCAAATATTTAAACCTCAATATCTTTAGAACCCGATGTTGTAAACCTTTGATATTTCAAACTCAGATTATTCGATCTAACAGAATTCATAGTTTGAAATATCTAAGGTCTGCAACATTTGGTTCCAAAGATATAGTGATTAGAAAATCAGAGGTTGTGGCAAAGACTCAATTAGTTTGAGTACTTTTTACGATTGTTTTTATTGTAAAATGTACGAAGAAACAAGAAAAGCAACACACAAAAATTCAAATTATATTATTAGAAAGAGTGCAATCTAGGAACGTTTATAAATTTAGGGGACATTAGTTCTAAAATTAACACTTAGCCCATTGCTAACACTGAGTGTTAGAAATAGGAATAATCTTAAAGACTGGGTTTTTAGAATCCCAGTCCATATCGAGAGTTAAATGTGATAGAAAAACTATTACCAACATTTTACTAAGCATGACGAGGACACCAATTCACAATTTTAAACTCCTTTCTGAAATCAAAATTATAAAAGGAGTTTTTTTATTATAGAACCCTTGACCGTTTTCAAGACAATGTCGGATTTTCCATTTTCGAACATTTGAATTTCAATGATTGTTGCGTTTTTAGACAAACCCCACTTTCCCTTTTTGAGTATAATCTGCAATTCAAAACAAAACTCACTATGTTGACTTTAAAAGTCACTATAGTAAAATAAAGAGATGGATATTTCTAACATTTATTTAAATAACGAAAGTTTTGAAATATTTTCCCAAGACTGGGTTAAAATTGGTTGGTTTAGAAATTAACAAAGGAATTAATGATGAATATTTGTGGGTACTTCATGGGAGTGATGTAGAGCTTCATGTTGGTGGAGCAGATCAACAGGAACTGGAACAACAGGGCTTATCCAACCTAGTAGGCAGAGATCACGGCTTTATCATGCTGGATTAGAGCGATTATGTTGTCTCTGTAAGCAGAATGCATGATAAACTGGGAACCCTTCAGGTAAGCATGTCTGTTGCTAGCTGAGTATCTGCGTCATCATCATAAAAGAGTGAAGAGGCTCCCTGTGTCGGAGCTGTTACTAGCTCAACTCTCCTAACCTGACTGAGGGCTGGGATGTGTAGAGGGGCGAGGGTGACATGTGGGCGCTTCATGGCGGAAATGGATACACACATCTTGAGAATAGTCGACGGCATTTGAGTCAGTAAAATCGTCTTCCTTATATTTCGAATTTGTGTTAACACACTATTATAAGTTTTAAAATGAATCACTGAAAAACAAAAATGATCTTAAAGAGACTAAATTTATTGCTGGATTATATCTAGAATCTAAATGTTCTTATTTCATTTGTTAAATAAGAAAAACCATGTGATCTACTTTACCGCATTCTAGTTAAATCTATATTGTAAAAACAAAACAATATTTTATCTTGTTTTTACTTTCTATTTTGTTTCTATTTTACCTTATCAAAAAATCTTGTTTTATTGCATCAGTGTTATGCTTGAAAAGTGACTTAGATATTTGTTTTAACCCTATTCCTTCTGGGCAGGGGGTCAATTTGACCCCCCCCTGTAGTTTTTTTTTACATAACTCAAAAAGTATTGGTCTGAGGCAATTGAAATTTTCTGACTTTTCCCACATACCCAAAGCCCTCCCTTTAGGCCTAAAACCGGGCTTTAATACTAAATGCCTGAGTCCTCAGGCACACTGCCTGAATGACTCCGTTTTCCTGTAACAAACTAAATCTTTGTTTTGACCCACTTCCACTTGTCAGATTTGGATAAAATTAGACTTTTTAGAATGCCTTTGACATAAGGAAACGGATTGCACAAGTTTTGCGAAAAAAAAATTGCAATTTTTTTGCAAACCACCTGTCTAAGGAAATTTGCACATTTTTAGTTTTTCTTGATTAAAAATCTGGTTATTTAAAATTTTGCAAAATTTATTGCATATTTGAAATGGCATGGTCAAGGGCTTTTCAAAAATGTATAATTTTTCATTTTTTGAACAAATTTTTTTGCAAACTTTTTTACTATAACTGGATTTTTCTATAAAAAATTCAATTTTTGCAAATGTGCAAATTTTTTTGCAGATTCTAAAAGTAGAGCACAAGAGCTTTCCAATGATGTATCATTTGTCTTATTTGAATATTAAACATGGGATTTAGAGGGGGGGGGGGTCAAATTGACCCCCAGCATATCCTGGTTTTCAAGTACCCCAGCAGAGATAGGGTTAACTTTAATTTATTTTAATTAAATTTTAAAATATTTTTAAGATTCAATATGATATCAGACATTTTGAGACTTCTTTATTTCTTGTGTTTCATTCTTTCTTCATGATCGTCCATTCCTCGTCCATCCTTCAATCATATTTGGGCTAATTTTGAAAATAAAAATAAATTAATTATTTTTGGATGGTTCTGCAGCTAGCCAAATTGCAGAGAAAGAACTCAAGCCCTGTATCTATATTCTGAGAGTGGCAAGGTTACCATCTCCCCCTGTTTTGTTTTTAAATTTTGCTTGAGTCATATTACTGCATCATCTTCCTGCATTCCTACACACTTTCAATGTAATTTTATTGGTTGGGGGGGAGGGGGCGTTCTATACATTATCCAGTTTTTTATCTAGAGTAGGACATAGAGGGGGGAGATAGGACGTCTGCCATCTTGTGTATTTGTGTTCATTCACTATCGGTGAAAAAATTTGACAGTGTAAAGCTCAAATCCTCTTCTAATTTTTACAGTTCAAAGTTTTTTTCTTCTTTCTTGGTTATCTTGTTTTAAGCCCCCATCTCTACTGTCAACAGATTTCCCATCCACTTTTTTTCTGTTCAATTTCTTTTTTCTTCTTGCTTCGTGTTTCTTGTTTTTACACTTTAGGCCTTTACAAATAGTTCTTTTGACATTGAGTTCTGGAGCAGGTAGGAGAAAGATAAGGAGGTTTTGGAGGAAGAAGGGTATATGGGATTTCTCCCTGAAAGTGACTTAAATATGAATTGGAGTAATTGTCTCAAAACCAGGATATGTTCCAAAAATGAGTCATGAGCTGAAATGCGATATTTGTTTAAAAAAAGGAATATGTTCGAAAATGGAATCAAGTAGTATCAAAAACTAATACACTTTATTATTAGTTTAAAATTGACACTTCTTGTTTTAGTATACAGTTTTACTCATGTTTAATAAATGTATGGTGTAGTTTTGTTCAACTTGGGTTGGATTTAAAGATATAAACGCTTGTAAAAGATAACTTTGCATCTTTGGCCCATTTCTAACACTCAGTGTTATACATGGACCAAGTGTTAGATTTGGAACTAATTTCCTCTGAAATTGTTAATGTATTTTTTAAGAGATGTCCGCAAAAACATTTATCTTTTTGGTATTGAGCTCCCATGATAGTTTGATTTTCACATTTTTGGACATTTTCGAAGTCTGTGCAATATTTCCGATCAAATGGAAACCAATTAGAGGTTTGTAGCACTAATATTAAGGAATTTATTCCAGTTTGAAGTTTAATGTTTTGGCTTGGTTGAAAATTGATATCAAAATTAAAACTTATTTTTTCTTATGTTTTGAAATGTTCGAATAACAGATGCCACTGATCCTACTTATTATTTTATCATAATTTTATTATAAATTTCCCCCCTCGATGCAACTTTTGACTCCTTTAATTCTTTAGGATTTGTTGTATAACACTAGGATTTAAAATTTTAAAAGAATCCCTGAACATATTCGAAAAATAAAGATCACAAATTTATGAGCTAAATCGATTTCGAAAATGTCAAATTTGAGAATCAATCTATCATGAGAGCTCTAACATATAAAAAATAGTTTTTGGGACACCCTGTAGTTTTTGTGATTTCAATATTTCATGTTTTGTTACTTATAAGTAAGTAACTTATAAGTAATGTTACAAAAATCGTAACTATTCAGAAGTATATTTTGTAGAAGCGAATTTCACTCGATATGATTTAAGCACTACCAAATGCAAGCTTTAAATAAACTAAAACTAATAGTTTCTTTTAATTATTCAGTTTGAACTGAACTGAACCGCTCCCGGAACTAGAAGAAAACGGCGACAAGATGCAACGCCGAGAAACCCAGATGTCACAAGATAATGGGACAGCGTAGTCTGTCCACCTTTCTGTCGGCTATCCATAAATGAAACTTTATCTAGGAACCTAATGATCCTAGTTTCTACATTTCATATGGGATGCCGCACCATTATTAAATTGCTAGCATACTATCTTATCAGTTTAAAAAAGATACTAACGAACCTTCAATGTTCGTATTTAGTATACCTTATGTAATGAAATTTTATGTTCCTCCTAACATCCTGCTAAGGAAGTTGCAATATTATTAAGACGAACCAACAATGTTCGCATCTATTGCACTTCGGTCGTTCGAGTACTTCTTAATTAATGTATTCACTCTTTTACCACATGAAGCCTCGATAGTAACGAATTAACATATTTTTGCTTAATATGTATCCTCAATAAAAACGAAGAACGGACAATGTTCCTCGTTGTGGGGCTCACAATAATTTTCTTCACTGTAAAAACTCGCTACCGTGTATGCTCATATGAAAGCATACACACTGATAGCAATTTTCCAATAAGAGATAACACACACTGTGCCTATACTATCTCTCAATCATATTTCATAAAAGAATGCTATCATTTCTTCTCTTTTTTTTCTATCGAAATGTTACTTTACCAACGCTTGAATTTAAATGATTTCTAATGATTTATAATTATATATAAAAAAAATATTTTTTGTATTAAACCAATGTTAACAATCTTGTAACTATGATATACGTAAAATAAATATCTAGATCTCAAAAAAATGTTTTGTTACTTTTTTAACTTTTTGGTTGAGAACATTGGACCCGTTAAATTAGGTAGAGTTAATGCAAGATTGAAATAAGTCATAAGTTCTTATATTGAGGAACTATTGAGATGAACACAAATACTTTTATAATCTGCTTCTATATAGATACTTTGCTTGTCTGTCTGTTTGTTTGTCTATATGATAAAACAAAACATTCGTATATATATATATATATATGTTGCGTATAGCCGGCCAAATGGCTGGACCGATTGGGCTGAAATTTTTTGTGGACACTCATCGGTGGCCGGGATGTTTTATAGGCCAAAAAACCGATTTTTTTTCAAAATCTAATTTTTTCAAATTTTTTTTCTTTTCAAAATTAAAAAAAAAATTCCACGGGCAACGCCGGGTTCTACAGCTAGTATCCAATAAATATCAAAACGGCTGAGCCGATCAGGCCCAAATTTTGTACGGGACCTCACATCAACCCAGCGAAGGTCTATGGATGATCAAAATTTTAAAAATTAGCCTCCAACAAAATTCGATTGTTATTAAGTTTTAAAAATCTACGAAATTTTTCGATAAAATCCTTGAAATTATTTTTACAATGTTTTACAATGTATGCAAAGAGAAATTGTTCATGCACTATTGAAATAGACGATTGGCGCGAAGCGCCCTGTAAGTCTAGTTTCTTAAACTTCTGCATAACATTCATTCAAAGTCTCACCAGAAATGTTGCATAAATCTGACCTCCTTCTTCTGTCTAAAGTAGTGTGTGAAGGGGTAAGGGAAGGTGCCAAGATCTTATGAATAGAAAGAAACTAATATGTTCTTGTTTTTCCATAGCTAGCTCTTTCTATGGTTATTTTTCTTCGAAGGATCTACAGTTTTCTCTGTCTCTCTCTCAGTAGCTTTGTCAAAAAAAATCACGAACACGTGGATAATTATATTCCAATGTAGACATCTAAATATTTTTGACACCGTCGTGTCAGTCAGTAATAAAAAATAAATACCACTGTGGCCATGGTATTCATCGAAAGCTGAAAAATATGTTGTAATAATGTGTTTCGATTTTCGAACTATAAAAAAATTATTCGCATTGCTTAACCATAGGCAAAGCCATTTTATAGTTTAATTCTTATTTGAGAAACAAAGTAAAAAAAACTAATGTTTTCATTTATCAAAAAACAAGATTTATACTACTTGCTTCAAGTGTCTTAGAAAATTAATGGATATTTTTCTGAAGATTAGTTGGTTATATCCCTAGTTGGCATTCTTAATTTTAAGAAAAATGGAAGACAACAATTAACTGTTAAATGTTTATTGACACGTACTACGTTCAATGTTGTTTTCCGCGTTTTTTTGCTATTCAAAAAAATACATATTAACCCTTTCCCTGCTGGGGTACTTGAAAACCAGGATATGCTGGGGGGGGTCAATTTGACAGGAATAGAGTTAAAGAGACTGAATGCGTAATTTCAAGCGAGCTTCCATTTAAAGAGGGGGATCCCCGATTCAAAACGGTGCCCTTTAAACCTTTAAACCGTGGACTGATCAAATATGTCCAACATATCCGTATTAATCTACAGAAACGCTTTGGAAACCGTTTTTAACATATAAAAGACAATATCTTCACGGGGCACTAGTAGAAGAACAGATGCTTTGGGTTAAAACTGTTTTAGACTGATTCAATGGCAATTTAACAGATTTACACACAGATCTCTCTCTACTCGATGAACAGTCAAAAGTTAAAAGGGTACCGTTGTAAATCGGACATTTCTCTCTTTGCATGAAGGGTCACTGGAAATTACGCTGGCAGTCCCTTTAAATAGGTAAAACCCTTACAGTAAATAGATTACTGTATACTACATTATATAATCTGAAAGGAAGGGAATGTATAGTAAATGTATTGAATAGCATCGTAATGATGTATTAGTTTTCAACGAAACCAAGAAGAAGAGAAAATCTTTAAACATATATTCATTCATAAATAGTGAACGTCGCACATACTTAACATGTTGTTATCTAAATTGGAGCACTAAAAGGGAATTCCATTACAATTCCAACGGACACTTTATTTGATTTTGTAAAATATCATCAGAAACAAAATAACTGGAACTGTGCTTTGAATTTGACCGGACCAACGACTCTATAAACTATTATTAGCTGTTGAGGTGCATCGTAGAAATGCCGAAATATATATTCTAAAAAGTGGTCTCCACTGTTTTATAACGAATCTGGGTTGGTTCAACCTTTCATCAACAATTGTAATTGTAATTTGTATTGTAAACTATTCTTATTTTTTAGTAAAACTAAGACCTGCCAACAGAGACCATGGGTCTTATTGTGTATTGAAAAAAGATAATTTAACCTAGGGTTGCATGTATGAAAGAGTGACTAAATAGTGAATAAAGTTTCTTCTTAAAAAGGAAAGTCAAAAGTGTGTCGCTACTCGCTACTACCATCAGCAACTTTAAAGGGAGTGACCGGCAATGTATGGTAGTTGAACTGAGAATGTAGTATTGCGGAAAATATTTTAAGGAATCATGTGAGACATGTGAGACGTTTTTACAGTGCATATTTGAGACATATGAGACGTTTTTACAGTGCATATTTGTTCAGCAAGGGCGCAAATTCAATCTTATAATCTTCATAAATTGTTAATTTTTGAATTTTGAGGAATGCTTTTAAAACGCGGTTTTTAATTATTACATTGCTGGTTACTCCCTTTAAAAGTAAGAAACCCGTCGGTTAGCAAAGACTAGGTCGGATTGTAGTACATCTTCTGTTGGTGTCTGTAATCTAAATGTATAGAGTATAGTATGACTCATTGATTGCATTTACTTCATCTTATACTCAATAGGGGGAATCTTAGAGCTAGAGGGATAGAGGCATTTATTCCTGGTATTCAGGAGAATCTGGACATGCACAGAATTACTTCATATTAGAAAATGTTGATAATACAGGATTACCCAAAAAATACGAGACAGCAAAAACAACCTAAAACTCTTAAAATATGAAGATTCCAAGTTCTTTTGCCTAAAATTATGATTGTTAAATGATTTGGAAAAAAATTGAATATGTTAGCTGTTGCAGGTAATCATAACTATAAAAATACACATCTATATATAAATTTGGCTTGTCTGTTTGTTTGTCTGTCTGTTTGTATCCAATAAACGTCAAAACAGCTGAACCGATCGGGCCCAAATTTTTTGTGGGAAATCACGTGACCACAGGGAAGGTTTATGAATGATAAAAATTTAAAAAAAATGTGTTTTAAAGGTTTTTAATTTTGTAAAAAAAATTTAATTCTTGAAAATCCGCGATTTTTTTTAAATCCGCAAAAATTTTTTCTTCTTTGTTTTTAAATGTAAACAAAAAGAACATGTTCATAATTTAAATAGAAGATGGGCGCGAAGCGCCCTAAAAACCTAGAAAGAAGGTCGCGAAGCGTCTTGAGTTTCTAGTATAGTATAAATTCACCACAGTCGTCTATATGAAATGTACCTTTTCGGTACCTCAATTTTGAGGTACATGACAAATTAAATTGTCCTTATTAATAATATTTTCTATCAATATTTTAAATGATATTTAAACATTTTCTGAAGAAAACCACTTCAACAGTTACAATTACTAAGGGATATTTCTAATTGTTAGACTTATTAGGGGCAAATAATCTTTATAATAATTCTAGTTTCGTGTATTTCTGTTTTCCTTTATTCTGTATCCGTGTATCAACTAGTTAATATAATCCTAGGGGATGAAACTCTGAAGCTTATCTTGGATATATCAAGACATTTTAGCCCAGTATATTTAGTCAATCACTGGTTACACGGATAGAACAAAATATGCCTCAGTAAAATCATTTAATTTAAACTTTTTACTTTAAAACTTTCATTTGTCTCACTGCATTTCCCTGGGTGTCATATATAGTATAAATATAGATATTTATATTAAGCACTATTTGCGCTAAGTGTAAATGATTGGGCCGCTCATTAAAATGTTACTGTGTATAAACATAACCTAAAATGTTACTGCGTATAAACATAACCTAAAATGTTACTGTGTAAAAAAATAAACTAAAATGTTACTGTGTATAAACATAACCTAAAATGTTACTGTGTATAAACATAACATAAAATGTTACTGTGTATAAACATAACATAAAATGTTACTTTGTATAAACATAACCAATAATGTTACTGTGTATAAACATAACCAATAATGTTACTGTGTATAAACATAACCTAAAATGTTCCTGTATATAAACATAACCTAATATGATACTGTGAATAAACATAACATATAATTTTACTTACTGTGAATAAACATAACCTAAAATGTTTCTGTGACTAAACATGACCTAAAATGTTACTGTGTATAAACATAACCTAAAACGATACTGTGTATAAACATAACCTAAAATGTTACTGTGTATAAACATAACATAATATGTTACTGTGTATATACATAACCTAAAATGTTACTGTGTATAAACAAAACCTAAAACGATACTGTGAATAAACATAACCTGAAATGTTACTGTGTAGTGTGTATAAACATAACCTAAAATGTTAGTGTGTAGAAACCTAAAAAGACGACTTCCCTTCTTGTCCTATCTGTTAAATCTGTGGTATATTAAGTCTAGTTTAGTGCTAGGAATACCATTACTATGATTAGATCAAAAACAGAGAATACTGAAAGTCTCGAAATTTCGGAGTGTGATTCCATCTTTGAAAAGTAATTTGGGTGGTAAAAATCAGTAAAAATTGCTTTCCGAATAAAAAAGTAGGAAATTGTTCAATTAAATTCACTTTAAAAAATACATAA